AGAGTAAAAAAGTTATGGAGATTTTATATCGATTTTGAAAATAACCGAGGTGACGTATCCGACGTAACATCTTTAAAAAATAATGGCGCATTTTTGGTTCCATATAAAGCCCTAAATTGGAGCTGGGAATCGAACCTCAAACCCTGGGCATTTATTTATGTCAGTTTTATTAAAACTCGAGGTAATAAGATTTATTTATTTTTTAATAAAATAAAGCGCTCTGTTCACATGTACTGCGATTTTGTTTCATTCGTTGTGAAAGCTCTGTCATGAAAAACGTTATTTATTGTAGTGCAAATATATTCCTCTCGGTTGGACAATCCAACCAAGGGAATAAATAAATTTTATAAAAAAAAAAAGAAAAAATGTTTTTTTAAATAGATAACTCATATTACCTCTCGACTGTATAACCAAACCGAGTGAATATATTTACTTGAAATAAAAAAATAGTAAAGCGTCAATTTTTTTTAAAAATGATAGATAAATTTTTATTAAAAAATAAATGAAAGTGCTTTATGAAAGTTAAATTGATACATTAGAAAAATTAAAAGTAAAAATTATAAGAGTTAAGATTCGAAGCGTGGCCCTTAAACTACATTTCTTCAAGGTTGAATGTAATAATCGAGAGAAGAGACAATATATTTTTTAATATAAAATTAAAATTAAGGCACTTACTAGAAGTGATTTTACCTCGGTTAGTTAGAACAAGAGAATAATTTTTTATTGAAAAATATAGTATTTGTAGTAGCTGTACCATTGGTAACCCTAGCCAGACAATTTATTGTGGCATTTTCAAAAACAAAGATGCAAGTCGAGTTGCTTTGCTATTAATTTAGATATCCTAATGCCTTTAAAGTTGAGTCATTTAGTGTCATGAATGTTGTTAAGAGTTTCACATCAAATAATATATGTTATGAACATGTATTTATAAGTGAGGGTAATCATCACCCTACAAGCCTAGTTCGTAAGATTGAGTCAGACTTAACCACATTTATTAACATAGTATCTAAAGTCTCGTTTAAGATTTAGTGGGTCACTTGTTATCATATTTCTACTATCGGATCATCGATTATTTATTTCCACACTCCATATGTCCAATCTTAAATGTGATATGGTATGTTAAGAATCTCACATATGATAATATATAGTATAAATATGTGTTTATAAATGAGGTAATTATCATCCTACAAATCAATTTTATGACATTTTATAATATCCTGAAATGTTGAAACTACTTATGGCTAGAGACGGTCTCATTATTGGTTCCTCTAACTTTCAAGTCACCAACAATTATTCCTTGACTGTTTGGAGTTAGATGAAACAATTGCATTCTCTTAACTTGAAAAAAAACATTTCTTTTTTATCCCCAAATTTAAAAATGAAAAATACTATTTTAGTCAATTGATTTATTGATTAATTTCTAGATTTGGTGGGAAAAAAATCTAAATTATATCATTGGTGATATTGAGAAAAATAGACTTGGTGTATGTTTGATTAGGAAAAAATAGAATTGATTCTAGGTGAATTTGAAATATTTGGTTAGGAAAAAGTAGAATTGATTTTATCTCTAAATTTAATTCTACTTAAAGTTAGAGTTTGTAACTTCTACTTTTATAATTGACTCAAGATGATTTTTACTTTTGAATTTATTATTTAATTCACTTTAATATAAATGTATTCAAACATAAATTAATTCTACTAAACTCAATTCTATTAAAATCAATTCTACCAAACTCAATTATGCTATATAATTTTTAAAAAGTTTTAGGTTTAGTCCACTCATGTTATATATAAAAGAATAAATAATACTTTGTGCATAATATATATAGTATAGTAATATGGTAATAATATTTGATGGTGAGTGGGAGTATAAAAGGAAAACTGTGTGTATTGGAATCACGTGGGATAAGAAGTCAGAGTTAGTGCATTATGCCACCACCATATTTATAACTATTTCCTTCCTTTTTTCTCTTTTTCAAGATTCCCCATAAACACTTGGCATAAGAATATATGGGCATGTAAGTAGTTATAATTAGTCAATAGTTTGAGTCACACAATCAATGTACCTGTAAAATACTAATCTGATTTAACAAGGAGAATAAAGTTTGTGTAAAGTTTTATGACAAGTATGCTTGATAATCTGATAGATATTCTTGAAGAGAAAATTCATTTTCCGTGATATATAGCTAGATTTAGCATTACCAAGCACTGATGAATTTTATCATTAAATGGTCAAATCTGTAAGTAAGTTCTTTGATTTTGGTATAGGGGAATTGGGTTTTCTCGTATCCATTGATGTTGATTAAAGCACATTGAGGATCCACCTTCAATAATTGATTGGGCCCCACAAATAGGTAACTTTATCAAGTTTCATGAAGGTGCACGTATTGGAACGATAGGTACGGAAGAATCAGAAAAGGGAATGCGGCGAAGTAGTTAAGTCAAAAAGAAAAATGAAACACTTGGGTGGGACTTGGAATTAAGTTGATCCTAATATTCTCGAGAAATTATAAGAAAGAATCCATCCATCACTACTAAAAAAAAGACATTTGAGAAAAAGTTTTTACATCGGGTATAAAAATATATGATGTAAAAAATACAATTAACAAACTTTTTACATCAGGTATTTATTTGCAATGATATAAAAAATATGAAAAAATATATATTTCGCTACCTATTACATCGGGCAAACGCATCCACCGATGTAAAAAGTTTTCAGAAAAAAATACGGTGGCATTTTTGTAAATAAGAAACAAGGTAGTAGAAATATTAATAAAAAACATGCAACATATTACATCGGTTGACTAAAAACTGATGTAATATCTTCACAACAGATATTAATATAAAAAATAAATTAAAGAATAAATTAATTTTTTTGCAACTTATTACATCGGGTATTACAATGCACCGATGTAATAGGTGCATTGTAAAAAAAAAAGTCAGAAAAAAAGCTTGCCAACCCTTACATCGGGTATTACAATGCAACGATGTAATAGGTGCATTGTAAAAAAAAAAAAAACTTGTCAACCCTTACATCGGGTATTACAATGCACCGATGTAATAGCCATCCAACCCTAACAGGGAAAATAAACTTTCAGGAACCGGTTCCTACCTAACAGGGAACCGGGTTCCAAACTTGTTCAAAAATCACTTCCCTGGAATTTGTACCAGGAACCGGGTTGTACCTATAGGGGAACCGGTTCCTACGTGTTATTTTTGAATTCTGGGTTGTAAAAAAAAAAAAAAAGTTTGCCAACCCTTACATCGGGTATTACAATGCACCGATGTAATAGTCATCCAACCCTTACATCGGGTATTACAATGCACCTATGTAATAGGTGTCAAACCCTTATTTCCCAAATATTTCCCAAACAGTAGAAAAATTACAACTCCATTTTCCCCTGTTCGTGTTTCCGATTCTGGTCGCTTCCGATTCCGATTCCGTCTTCCTCAACCCCTCCCGATTCTGATTGCCACCGCGACTGCCTTATGCCCGCCCGATTCCGGTTCGGTAATATTCTTTGACCGCCGTTTCGGCCGCCGTTTCGACCGCCGTTTCCGGTCTTCCTCTTCAACCGCCGTTTCCGGTCGTCCTCTTCGACCGCGGTGGTTTCCGTTCGTGATTCCGCCGTTTCTGGTCGTCGTCTTCAACCGCGGTGGTTCTGTTCGTTCGTGTTTCATCGTTTTCGACCGCCATTGATGATGATTTTTGTTGTGAATTTACAGATTTGTTTGATGAACATAGATGATGCGGTTTGTTGAAATTTGATTACGTCTCCTTGCCGCCGTTTCACATCGTTCACTCTGTTCACTCCGTTCACGACTTTTCACCGGCCGATTCACGCCCTTCCTCGCTCGCCGTTTCAACTGTAAGTCACATTCTTCACTTATTTGAAATAATATTATGTTTGAGATCTGTTTCAAAAGGAGTTTTTGAAAATAAACTTTCAGGAACCGGTTCCTACGTAACAGGGAACCGGGTTCCAAACTTGTTCAAAAATCACTTCCCTGGAATTTGTACCAGGAACCGGGTTGTACCTATAGGGGAACCGGTTCCTGCGTGTTATTTTTGAATTTTGGGTTGTACCTATAGGGGAACCGGGTTTCTACTGTAATGAAAAAAGAAAGGACCCAAATAAATTATTTCAACATCACAATATTTATATGTTGCGTCCTTTTAGTATTATAATAATAATTTACAGCCAAATCCTACTGCCTTGATTCTAACTACATCGGTTAATAACCGATGTAAAAAGTCGCGTCACTGTGGACTTTTTACATCGGGTATTACTTCCAACCGATGTAAAAAACTGGATCAATTTTTTTAAAAAATGTGTATAATAACGGTTTCTTACATCGGTTCATATATTATAACCGATGTAAAAAATAGAATTTTTACATCGGGTATTACTTCCAACCGATGTAAAAAACTGGATCAATTTTTTAAAAAATGTGCATAATAACAGGTTATTACATCGGTTCTGATATTATAACCGATGTAAAAAAGAGACTTTTTACATCGGTCCCAGAACCGATGTAAAAAGTCCCTGATTTACTATATCGCCTGACTTTACATCGGACCCAAAACCGATATAAAAAATCAATTTCACCCGATATAAAAAGTTATTTCTGCACTAGTGCATTCATCCACTCGTGCTGGTGCTGCAAGATTCCTATTCAATTTGCTTCTCACATCTATGATAATACATATTTTTGAATTACAAATTTAATCTTGTAAAGAAATTACATATAAGTATAATATAAGAACTGCCAACTAGTTTAATTGAAAAAAAGGATAACATATTATATTTATGTATAGCAGCCGCTAGTAAGTATACAAGTAAACCTTTTACTAACAATGACATAACCCTTTCGAAACAAAAATAAGAAAAAAAATATGTGGGAGTTCCAAATAATATTGTAATGTCAGCTAGTGGTGTGGTTTGATCTATATAGTAATATTAATTTTTGATTCTTCTCTTGCTGGCTCGACCCTACCTCTAATGGGTTACCCCTGCCACAATCGGAATTTTTGCAGGCTCAATACAACCACCATTACCACCATCCTCGTATAGAAACTTGTGTACAATCCTAAGACTCTTTGCCAACACACGATCCTCCCAATTATCTTCCTTAAGCACAACCTCCGTAGCATCAAGACGGTGCATGTTCTTTTTCCAAATACCATAAAGCCTATGAATCTTCTCAACTTGTTTACTCGCAAGCTTACAGTTATTCACTTTAAGAGCATCAGTAGCTACTTCTAGAAGCTTCTTCATAGTTCTTCCATCTGTTACACCTTGTGACTCCGCTCTAAAAAACTCGTCAAATTCAGGTACACCAATGGCTCTTCGTATCCCTCTAGTGTAATCGTAATCAAAATCTTTTTGGTTGAAAAATTCACGAACTTCATTCACTTGACCCGCTTCAATCATGCGATCCACACGTGAGGATAAAGACGAGTGAAGCACGGGAATAGAAACATCCACCCACAGAAAACAACATTCGTACTTCATGCGAAACTCATGGTGATGATTAACCAATGCTTCAATATACGAATTTGAACCGCCAGCTATAATAGGTAACCCGTCTCTTCCCAAGATGGACCCAATAGCGAGCGTCGCGTGTTCGCAAAACTCGTTCGATGTGAAACTCGAATCAGGATGAATGGTTCCAAGTAAATGATGTGGAACCCCACGACACTCTTCCTCGGTGACTTTGTTTGTTGTGATGTCAAGTCCTTTGTACACTTGCATTTTGTCTGAGTTAATAATCTCTGCCGGTGGAAAATAGTTTGCTAACTCTATAGCCAACTTGGATTTCCCGGTTCCGGTAGCACCCATGACAACAACAACTTTCTCTTTACGATGTTGTTGAAACCGTAAATTATCATTATCCATTACTGGCGCTTGGAATCTCATCATGGGCTTGCAAGCAGAAGAAACAGCACCACACACCGAAAATATATTCATCATTTTTTTTTCTTCTTTTCAAGTTGATGAAACTATAACCTGAAAAACAAAGTTGACCCAACATTTTTTAATTTAGAACCAGCTCATATGTATATAAAATCCAACAACTAAATAGAATCTAACGAGAGGGATGAGAAGAGAATAATAGATCCAAAAATTTAAATAACATTTTTATATATGAATGAGGTTGATCTATGTTTTGTGCAACCAAAGCAATGCCATGTATATGGTATGAGAAACGAGACATAATATATTAAGTGAGTATAGAGTATAGAGAGTTAGAGACAAGACAACTAATACAAAGCATGCATGTTTTCTTCTTGTAACATGTAGCTAACGTTTTTATCCATGTAAAGCAAAAGCAAACTCACAAGAAATAAAATTAATTAATTTTACAAGTAATTTAAATATATTTTATGTTTATGTTAATATTTTGGGTCGCATAATTTTAGGTAGGGATGTTTGTAGTTCGGTTTGGATCGATTTTAAGATAAAATCTCATATGATCTAAAGGTAAATTTACTTGCGGTTTGATTAAATTTTGTATGATATATTAAAAAAATTAAATTCGATCCGATCCAATTTTATAAGATTTAATTTGAATCGGTTTTTAAATATCCAAATTACATACAATACTTTTATTAATATCATAAAACTATTAATTATAAATCATTTGATATAATATATAACATATAGTATATTAATATTACAAAATAAGAGAGATTAATTATAATTAAAATAATAAAAATAAATAGATTATAATAAATTAATAAATATTATTAAAAAAAATTATTATCATTTAATAATAAATTTATTTATGTAGTATATATATTAATAAAAAATAAATAATTATAAAAATATATGTATATGCAGTTCGATTTGGTTTGAATCGATTTTGAAAACTTAATTTGAAATTCAATTCAAATTAATCGATTTTTATAAAATGACATCTAAACATATTTAATAAATTTCAATTTTTTGAGGTTTTCAATTTTTTGGATGAATTTTTTATTTATTTAAGTTGGTTTGAATTTAAACCGCTAATTCTAGAAATACCGTACCTTTAATGTCAGAAACACGTGGCAAGTTGAAGAATATTTGTGAAGTAGATAATATTTCTTTCACAAGTACGAGATTAATTATATAGAGTCGGATGATTTTAGAGTTAAATATATATGTATGAATGGTGAGTTTCAGTGGCTTGAAAAATGTTGAGTTAGAAAGAAAAATGGTGAGAAAGAAAGGAAGAAAAGAAAATGCTGAGTAGTGATGGAAAATTTATGCGAAAAGAGACTATGGAATTGTGAGTAACTGAAGCTTGAGTTAAGACACTTATAGCAATACCTTGCTATTTATAATGGGGAATTTCTAATTTCTATTGCCTTGGCCCACCATAGATATATATATATATTTAACGGCCTGTGGTCTAGTTTATTCACTTCTCATTAATCTTTAACAATTTGACTAAAAAATAAAACTTCAACGACAATTAATTAATTGTGTTATGTTACATTGCTGGCTTAAAAAACAATTTAACACTGCCGATAATTTTATAAAAATATTATTTTTCTATTTTTTAACGAGTTTAATGGATATTGCTGATTAAATAAGTTTTACACGATCATTCGATTAGAAGTCACCAATCTATTAAATCGTTTTAAAATATCGGTGTATAATTTAACGAAATACATATCATTCATTTAATGATAGAATAAAGTTATTTTATACAATTTGTGTATCTCCTATTTTCTTTTTCTTTTTTAATATCTTATTTTTTAAATTTGGTTTTTCTTAATGGTAAAATATAGTCTAAAAACAAAGTACAATCAGATGAAAGGTATTAGAGGTGCAAAAACAATTAGATGAACACACTGTAATAAAGGAATAGTAAAAGCACGTAAAATTCAACACATGGAAAATTATAAAAAGCAAAAAAACTTGAAATATCGAGAGTAACGCGGGTAACAAAGGGATGAAAAGTCATAGGCCACCCAACATCAGACACCAAGGAATAAAGTTAATTACACAAGACCAACACAAGACCAACACAAAGCCTCACAACGTCTGACTTTTAGGACGACGAACCTATGACTACTATTAGGCAAAAACACACCTCATACAACTAATGGCTCAGTCACAAGATGGGATCTTTCCACCACTCATATTAAGAACAAGAGTACCTAGAAGACCTGACAAGATATCATTTCCAAGAAGTGAAGATGCATTGATCGAACAACTCTTCCATGCTAACCACTTGTTTAGAGAATAAAACATCATTTCGATATTTCCATAAAGACTAGATCATTACATGGAAAATCAACAACAAAGCAGGTATATAGTTATGATGAACTCCTAACCCACAAACAAAATCTAAAACCATAGACATTGACCTAGGTAGCACTAAGAACAACGAAACCACCCAAAAACTTATACCACAGACAAAACACCACTTTCACAAGTTTCAAAAAAAGATGAGAAGTCGACTCTTCCCCATCGGGAAAATCATACAGGATCATCGAGCAAGATTAAGGATCACATAATGCCTGAGTAAGTTCTCCATATTAGGGATTTTGTCGTGCAAAATTGCTAAAAGAAGACTGCCACTTTAGACTGAGCGAGACTCTCTCAGATAAGAGGAAGAAATGCTTAGAAGGAGAAGTAATGGAACTTGAGTGTACACTAGAAGAAAGCAGAATACATCGAACCGATAAAATAAACAATATCCTCACTATGAGTTCACCACGAAAGATTACTCTTTAGGGATAGAGACATACCCTCAAGGAACTGTAGAAATTCCAAAAGTGACAGTTTCTCTCATACAAAGAAAGCTCTTATCCACCTAAAATTCTAAGTTAGACCACCATCAGTCTGAAAAACCATATCCCCTAATACACCATTTATATGAAGAAAAACCTAGAACAATTTGGGACGTAGGTTTTTAAAGGGTATAAAACAAATCTATTGACCATTCTAGAAAGAGGTAGGGAGACTAGAGCCTGCCTTTTTAGAAATTCCCTCCACAAGCAACTTAAATCAGGCATCATATGAAGATCTCATCTGAGAGAAATATCACCACCGTGGGGATGTCAATATCAACACAAACGACAATCCACCTAAAAGGGACAAAATCTCTTAGGGCCCATACCTAGCAAAGAAGATTTAACTCCAAAGACTAGGATAGGAATAAAATGACCTTCAATACTACTTCCTTATAAGGATAAGACTAACCAACCTTATATCATGGACACCCAAACCCTCACGCTCTTTAGGATTATAGACCTCCGACTTCCCTTAACCCCTTCAAAGAGAAACCTTCTCTGAATATTAATAATTACCTTCCACGCCTTAAATGACGACTTCAAGAAAGAGATATAAGGTACATTAAAAATTCAAGTATTGATCACATACACACATTTAGGATGTCACTCATCATCAGAGAACACTTGTTTCATAACACTTATCATTTAAAATAAAACATCCAAATACACATGTCATCACATGCTCACCTTCACTTAGGGTATCATCACAGCGAAATTCATTAAATAAGCATGCCTCAAAATTATTAACTTTAATAAGAATACATTTGAAATTAAAGCAGCTATGACAAAAGCCTTCACAATCAACATAATTCAAAACATTAAAAGTATAACATCTAACTCTCAATAAAACATGCATATAATGAAATAACATCGTTCGTTCGCCCAATATTACAGAACCAGAGCATTAGCGACTAAAAAAGTAATAAAAATAATAAAAGTAACTCCAAGAGCTATTTCGTACTCACATCATCAAACTCTACTTCTGAGTGTCTGCAAGATGTCCATTGTGGGAAACATTAAAGCAAAGAGTGAGAATTCACTCCAATAATTAAATGGTTTAAGCTTCAAGGCAGAATACAAACATCTACATAATATATACATCAATCACATAATCATATTATCACACGTAATTCAACATCATGAACAATCACAATCAAGCATACATCTCATTTATGCTATGCAAATCATGACAATAACACACTACTACAAATAACACTTTTTATGGCGAAAAGTTCATCTTGAACAGGCTAAAAACCGATAGTATAGGTCCCAGGAGCGCCATGTTTGATTTTTTTAAGAAAATAAACAATTTTTTGTCTCAGTGTTATAAACAATCGAGGTAAAAAAATTATAAGTAAACGACATTTTGTATCCATAAAAAATAATAAACCTATTATCTCGGTTTTATGGAAAATCGAGGGGATATAACTATAATATATCTCGCTTAGAATTCTTATTACCGTTGTTACACCCTAATTTGTTTCCCCTAAGATCTCTCATCATATCATATTATCAATACATCAAGATCACACATTAGGGTTGGTTCTCCCTTCTATTTCATCCTATCTTTAAGTTTGCTCTTGAGGGATCACCAAGCACCTTGGATTGTGTCTCTTGTACATGTTTTTTAGGTGGATTAACTTTTAACTAACATAAAAATATGTATATATGTTTATTTTAATGTTCATATTGTAGGTGATGATACAGTTGCATCCATCTCACCATCTAATATAGGGTTTGAAGGTTGGTCCTCAGTCAAATGGTTCTTCAATGGATAGCAAGAGCTCAAGATTCAGGGTTATGTATATGATATCAAATTTGTTGGTTCAAAGAGCTCTCTCACTTTATTTAGGTCAAGTTTTCCTCAAAGTTGGTGATGGTATTCATCAAGAAGATTCATAGATTCATGTATTTATTTCCATGTGTTCTTCAACAAGTTTCATTGGGACTTAAGCTACATCTTTGAGTGTGCTTCAAGAAAACATAATTTCAAGGCCTATTGTGATCCATCATGCTTTATTTTGCCAAGAAGGTTCAAAAATATTCAAGGTTGGTTCAACAAGTTTGACCTAATTGAGCAAGTGTTTGATTCAGTGATCACTAGTGCATAACTCTCTCAATTTTCAATATTTTGAGTTGGTTCTTTTTGTTGGTTCTTATCATCCTCTACAACAACTTCTCTTC